CGGGTCACAAAAATTGCAACGAACTTAGATAAATTAACACTTCGAGGCGTGAACAAAATCACTTTCCCAAAGTAATATTTCAACCCTATTATACATATCGGGTATCACGAAATTACTAGGAGATACAACGAAGACAATCACAACAGAATTTAGTATGTTTGTGATCTAATGTAACCAAAACTTGGTAATTATGGTGATGATAATTAAAAGAAACAAGCAAAACTAAGAAAATGGAAACCAGAAAGTCAAGAAGAAATTGACTCCTTCTTTTCTTATTATTCATCATATGTTAATTAACATATTTATATTGAAGCAAAAAACTAAGCCAAACATCACGAAGAAGAAACTGACACAATCGTCAAAATTCAACCCACCCCAGACCCGCGCCCTACCGGGCTGCGGCCGCCCGACCGGGTGGACGTGGGTGTCGCAATCTGGAGCCTCTTGCGCTCAGTCGGGCGGTAGTGGCCCTGTTGGGCGGTAAAGTCCCAAATTGCAGAACTTCGTGATATGGAGATCGTTCGCGCGTCCGGTAGGGTGGAGCAGCTTCACGATTCCACCCTCGCACCCGGTCGGGCGAGAACCACCTAGACCGGGCGGCAGACAAGGCAGTGGTGTGGATTCCTCTTTACTGAGTTTAGTTATCTCTTTACCGAGATATTTTCATCCTTTCCACCAAGGCTATTTGCTTCTAATTTCTTTGCTATTCTTAATCAAATCACCTTCACCTATTTAACATTAATTAAGCAAAGCAAACATGAATAATTATCTCATACTCGAAATTACTCGACAATCCTCCCCCATTCAGAGTATAAATTAGACTCATTGTAAAAAAAAATCATCATCATCATAAAGGGCAATCTTATGCATAAATGAAGGTGTACAAAGACTTGAACTCCTACTTAGGGCAATACACATTCCAAGAATCCATATCCAATCGGTATCGTAAAACGATTGAACCAAAAGCAATACATATCAGATTCATGAAGATATTAGACACACAAGATCAATTACTTGATTACATTAATACTTGACACGTAAAGCCATGTATCCCTATCTTTTCGTAAGTACTTTAAAGCTATGCCCCAATAGCTTCTTGAAGCGGCTAAACTTCGTATTTATATAGGTAGATTTCCAAAACATGCTCCTGTGACTGAGCACTATATCAAGAATTCTATTAAGTTAAAACAACCTCTTTTTATCACTGAAAAACCGAAACTTTACCTTGGATGATTAAACAAGTTCCCAATCATCAAATAAGAGAATTAATCTCATTGAACTTAAGACCCACGTCTTATTGGGCGTTAAGTTGAGATTCCCTTATTTGTGATTATCATAGGGTCCAATCTCAAATTGATTGCCATCCTTTAATTAGCATCTCTTACCCATGCTTTTTAAAGCAACCGGCGAGATTAAACTTCGTACAAATATAGACAATAGTGATTACACTATCCTTGTTAAGTCCTTGGATATGACTATACCTTACACCAATATTCCTTAACTTATCATTATACACTTGGCTATATGCCTTAGCCAAGATTACATTGTTATCACAATTTATCACTATTAGTGATATTGACTTTTGTAACAAAGGAACTTCAAGCACTAAATCCCTTAACCATTCTACTTCTTACCAGCGGAATGTAATGCTATGAACTCCAATGTCATTTTAGAATCCGCAATGCAAGTTTGTTTCTTAGATGCTCATGAAATGACACCTCCCCCATATAGGAATACCCATCCACTTGTAGATAAATAATCTCTATTTGAGATCCAACTTGCATCCGAATATCCTTCAACAACCGAAGGATATCCACTATAGCTCAAACCATAATCCATGGTTTTCTTCAAGTACTTCAACAAACGACGAACTTCTTGCCAATGTAGCATACTAGGATTGCTAGTGAACTTGCTCAATCGACCAACCGTTTGAGCGATATCCGGCCTAGTACTTGTCATGGCATACATCAAACATCCTATAACTCTAGCATATCTCAGTTGTGAAACTACATTACCTTCATTAGGTACCAACTTTAAGCTAGGATCATAGGTATTGAATAAATTAAAGAAAGGTTGAACTTTCACTAACATTGAATTTCTTGAGCACTATCTAAATGTAATGAGATTGTGACAAGATCAACTTTCCATTTTCTCTCTTTATTCTTATGCCCAAGATGACACTCGCTTCTCCCATGTCTTTCATGGAAAACTGTGAACTAAGGAAGGATTTTGTCATTTCAACTTGTGACAAATCCGTTCCAAAGATCAACATGTCATCTACATATAAGCAAATTATGACACCTTGACGTTGTCATCAAATTTGCTATACACACATTTGTCTAAATTGTTCAACTTAAAACCATTAGATAACACAACTTTATCAAACTTTTGATGCCATTGCTTAGGTGCTTGTTTTAGCCCATACAGTGATTTAATTAACTTGCAAACTTTTGCCTCTTGGCCTTCCACAACAAACCCTTCCGGTTGTCGCATATAAACCTCTTCTTCCAAATCTCCATTCAAGAACACAATCTTGACATCCATTTGATGGATCGCTAAATTCTTAATTGCTGCAAGTGCAATCAACAATCTAATAGTTGAGATTTAAGCTACTGGTGCATATGTATCGAAATAATCGATACCAGGTTTTTATGTAAAACCTTGTGCCAATAGTCGGGCCTTGAACTTTTCAACAGTCCCATCAATCCTCAATTCCTTTTGAAGATCCACTTGCACCTTATTGGTTTAACATTAGGCGGTAAATTAGCTAACACCCAAGTGTTGTTTTCCATGATGGAATCCATCTCATCATTAATTGTTTCATTCCAAACTGGAACATCCCGAGACTTCATAGCCTCTTCATATCTTAAAAGATCATCTTCCACACACTACAAGAAAAAGCTCCATTTCCGACGGATAATAATTCCGTCGGAAATTTCCAACGAATTTACATTTTTTCCAACGGAATTTAAATCCATCAAAAAATACTTAATTTCCGACGGATAAAATAAATACTTTCCGACGGATTTAAATTCTGTAGGAAATTTCCGACGGAATTTTTTCGATTTTGACGGAATTCAATTTAAAAAAAACGGAAAACCCTAAAACCCTACATGAGCAGCCGCCCCCTTTCCTCTTCGTTTCACTTTCTCTTCTCCTTCCTCTCACTCTCTCTTCTCCTCATTTCTCTTCTCTTCCTCCTGCTCTTGTCCCCGTAATCTCTCTCCTTCCTTCTCTGATCTCTTCTCCTTCTCCTCTCTCTTCTCTCTTTTCGATCTTTTTCTTCTCCTCATCCTCCTTTTCTCTTCTCACTCATCATCCCTCCCTGCCGGACGTCGCTACCCCCACCGCTACGCTCGATGCCGCCCCGCTTTGCCCTATACACCATTTTCATTTTAAAGGTTTTTAAGGTCAATTTCGACCAAGGAAACTCTAAATATAGAGTTTTCTTGGTCAAAATTTGACCTTATTAACCAAGTTTGAGGTGAAGTTTGAACCAATTTAAAAGTTTTAGGTAAGGTTTCGTGATTTTAATTTTCTTTGTTTTTTTATCTTGGTGAAATTCGAATTTGTTGTTTTTTTATAAATTTTTTTGGTGGTTGTACAGTGGTTGTGGTGGAGGATGGTGGATCTGGGTTAGGGTGGGTCGATCAGGGTTAGGGCGGGAGGTGGTTGTAGTTTCGGTTTACTTGGGGGTGGTGGTTGTAGTTTCGTATAAGTGGGGGTGGTGGTTTCAGTTTAGGAGAAGTGGGGATGATTTAGGTGGGTTCAGGTGGTGTGGGTTTAGTTTGCAGGTTAGGGTTGAGGTTTTTTATTAACGGTGGTGGTGTCTGGTGACAGTAGTGGTGGCGGAGCGTTTTTTTTTGTTTTAATTTTTTTTTTTACAGTATTTTCCGGCGGAACACTTTTCGTCAGAATTTTCCGATGGACTATTCCGGGTCGGAAAATCTCTTCCGACGCCTGAATTCCGTCGGAAAAGGTCGTTTTCCCTACAAAAGCCTTTCCGACAACCAGTTCCGTCGAAAACAGGTCTTCTGATGGAAAACATGGTGTTTCCGACGAAAAATTTCTGTCGGAAATCGCTTGTTTTCTAGTAGTGGTTAAAATGTATGGATGTTGTATTGAAACTTCATCCCTTGATCCTTCAACCAAGTATACATGAAAATCCGGTCCAAAATATTTTTCTTTCCTTGCCCTCTTACTTCTCCTAAGTTGTGATGATGATAGATGTAGATGCCTCCTCTAAATGAGTTTGGTCATCCACCTCTTGATCAATTAAAACTTGATCAAAACTTTGAGCTTCGGTATTTGGAGTTATATCCTTTGGTCTAGGAATTGAAGAAAATCAGTTTTCATCAAACAATGCATCCTTAGACGCAATGGTGGTGTGAATAGACTAAAAGTCATTTTGCTCTATTACATAGAGCCTATAGGATTTGCTACGTTCCGCATATCCTATAAAAATGCATTCACTCCTCTTTCACCTAACGTTTTACGTTTAGGTTCCGACACTTTTACAATTGCCCTACAACCCCAAACTTTAAGATGACTCAAGTTTGTTTTCCTTTTATACCATACATTAGTGGGAAAAACGCTATTAGCAACTGGCAAAAAGTGGCTTTTAGCAAATGGCGCGTGGGGTTGCTATTACAGGGGCTACTAATGAGAATATTATTTGCAACTAGCACTTGTTTGCTGCTAATAGTCATTATTCACACGCCAGTTGCAAATAGTCCTTTTTTATAACATAAATAGGTATTATTCGCAACTGGCCAAGTGTTAGGCCCGCTGCAAATAAGTAGTATTAGCAACGGGCTTAATACTAGGCCAGTTGAGAATACTTTTATAAACTTAAAAGAGGTATTATTCGCAACTGGCCTAGTATTAGGCCCGCTGCTAATACTACTTATTTGCAGCTAGCATATAATTAGGCCAGTTGCAATTAGTCTTTTTTTAAAATAAAAAAAAAAAATCCAATTTTTTTAACTAGATTGATCTACAAAATATATCAGATGTTAATAGCATAACAGAAAATTATGTTAATTTTATTGTATACATTAATAACAAATTGTTTGAAAAATTAGAAGGTTATATTAAAGATGAATATAGAAAGCTAACACATAAAGCCAATGTATCTTATTTAACATTTTTTAGTAAAATGACCGTCACTGGCTTCTTCTTGCTCTAGAGTCTCACTACTCTCAACAGCTAGAGCCAAGGGTGCTTCACTGCTCTCCAAAGCCCATACACTTATGGCAAGAGTTAAGCAGAAAATAATGAAGTAGCAGAACAACAGCACAAAAGCAGAACAACAGCAGCACGAAGAAGAGAAATGCAGCGTGTAGTGGGCGTAATTGAAATCCATAGCTGTTCTGTTGGGAATGAACTTGTCCAACTGCCAAAATGAATCAAAATAAAACTGATTGAGATCTAAATAATGACATCCAAAAAAATCTCCAATTTAATTTTTCAAATTGAACCACCCAAATAATTGATTTAAAACATTGAAGCCCATACACGTATGGCAAGAGTTAAGCAGAACAAAAGGTTCAGCTTCATGACAAAGGAGGAAATAAACCAGAACAACAAGTTCAGCTTCATGATAAATAAGGGCCTTCACAAGGCAAAGAATATAGCATTTCAGATTGGAGTATAAAGCCAAGCACATGAACAATAAGTAAGAATCGATAATGCCACTGTCAATTACCAGAAAGAAGCACAATGTTTGCAACAACTTTTTACCAACAAAGTAGATTTATGTAGTTTTTGATAACAAAGTAGATTTATGTAGTTATTGATAACAAAGTAGATTTATGTACCAAAAAACATGTAGCTTTTAATAACAGACGCACACAATGTTCACCAACTCTGCTTCAATTTAGACAACAAATAAGCATTGAATATCTATAATTGATCATACATCCATCATACCAGTTAAAAATACACGCAACAAACAATATCCAGCCAACTATATCTCATTGATTATGCAATAATATGGAAATTATCAACATACAACCAATTGCATATAACACAAACAAAACCATGAACTTTCAATATATCAAGTAACCCAAAAAATCACAAGGTTGATTTGCAAGTAATTCTAAAAAAAAAGCTAAACCATGCTCACCCATAAGCAGACATTCCGTGCATAATATTCAGGAGTCTGGAATTAATCATGTGTAGCTTTGTATTCTGCCACATAACCTACAGTAAGTACATGGAAATTTTAAAACAAAATACAACTTGTAGATCATTAATGTGTACCTTTCATGACAGAGTTGAATTTATATGAGTTCTTCTCTTTAACTTCTAGCCTTTTCATACAGACCAATACATAAAGTTCTAAAACAGAGCCATATGTGAAAACAAATCGATACATGTTAGAGAAGTCAATAATAATTTTAGGAAGGGAAAGGGATTAAGGGTGTGAGTGGCATGCAGCATTGGCCTAATAAACATTAGTTTAAAAGACAACTGTCCAAGACTACTCAATGATCAGTATCCAGCACTGCTACTGAAAGCCTAAGCTAGCATATAATATGCGGTACAGAATTAAGTCCTTGAAAGTGCATTCAATTAATGATGCGTGACATATACTAGTCATACAGAGGTCTCACTAGAAAATGCTTAGCAAACTCTATAGCTAGCCAAATTGATTGATTTACACTCCATAACAACTCTTCCACTAGGTTCTCTACCCAACCAAATTTCATACAGATCAACTGCACTGGTATACTATACTAAATGATCTGTTTAAAAAATGTGAAACATTAAACACAAATCGCAATTACCAATAACAAGTCATAACCTAACACTGATACAAAGTATGATAAAATATACCAACCTTCAAGTTCAGTCAAACGATGCTCAACCCGGCTCTGGAAATGGCTCTTATTCAATTATGTTAGAGCGCTACTAGACATGCATTTCGGCTGTAGCTTAACCACAGCATCCTCAAATTCCATAATTAAATCCACATAACTAGAGATACAAGTTGCGTCCTGCAACCCTATTTTAACAATCAAATCAAATACAACATCAAGAACACAAAATCCTATACGGCTATACCTATTAACCACTAATCATCGAGACCAAAACTTTACGGCAAAATTTACCAATAATATCTTATTTATTCACTTAGATACATCCTTATCATAATTCATCAATACATTTACATGTAAAATATATATTTTCTCTAGTTCATCTTCAGTCCAATAATCACGATTAAAATCAAACCTTCAATATAACTACAGCCATCTTATGGAGCATATGGATAATCAAATGGTTATTTTCTTCTGTAATGATATTCTTAAAAAGATTGAATGCAATGTCTATTCTAATAAATTAATCTAAGGATTCTGGATACTCCCTCCTCCCCCTTTTTTCACCAATCAAAAGATGAGACCGTCTTCCACAGTACACCAGCCAAATTTTCACCTTTTTAATCCTCTCTTCAGTACAATTTTTTTCCAATTCAACTCAAGCAACAACTGTTTTTACCATCTCTGATACTGGAGACTGTCTTTTAAAATCAGTTTCCTACAACTTTAGAGAGGAACTATTTATATTGCAGAAGGTGCTGCTCTGGTAGTTTATAGCTGCAAAGTACTTCAGATGGGGATGCAGCATCTCCTGATTGGATACTCTAATTTTGTTGTTACTAACATTCTCAAGCCCTTTTTAATCTCCTTGACGTCTAGACATCATCATGCGAGATATTTAACATCACATGCAGGAAAATAAAAACAGCATTTTTCCCGCATCAACAAACAACAGAGAAGTTTGAGAAATTGTGCTCTAGATCAATTGCTAAATTTTGATGATTCTATATACCTTTAAAAAAATTGTATCTAAGAATTACTTAAATGCTCTCCATAGTTATATAAACTGATCAGATCGCCATATCCTAAGGCAGAACATACCGAAGGTCATATTTGTAATTTTCTTTGAAGCATAACAAATTTCTCTACAATGAGCAATGTACAGTGCCATTGAACATCAATTTGGGTAAAACATAAGAGTCTGTCATCATGAATAAAGTTAATCATCGTGGGAACACATAAGCATTAAGTGGTAAACATTAAACTATACGTAAACACATTTCTAAAAGGATGTACAGACTACATATTCCTTTGTCTAGTCTACACATAATCATAACTGGAATACATCAGCAATAAGTGATAACTATTTAACTATACCATATCACATTTCCTACAAGGTGTACAGACTACAAATATACCTAATCACATTCCTATAAGGTGCACAAGCTACATAGTCCTTTGTATAGTTTACACACTGAGTCATCCTCTACTACAACCACATTTCAAAGTGTTATTAATTCTCTTTTTTCGGGTGCGAAAATTTGCTTTTGGAAATCAAAAGGCAGCCCAAATAAAGCATAGCAAAACATTGACATAAATCAAACTTAAAACTCAGCTTAAAAAGAAAAAAATCACAAATTTCAAGAATCCTAGTAAACTTACCACACTTAAACCTATAACTAACATAAAAACTATAAAACATTTCATTGAGATCTCAAAACCAAATAATGTAAACCAGTTAACCATCATCCATAATAGAAATCCAAATATGAAAGTCAAGCTAGCTTAGTTAGTAAATTCCCGCGAGTAATACCCAAGACCTAAAATCAAATCCCGTCTACATCTCTGCCCTTCTCGACTCTTCATACAACAACAACAAGAAGCAAGCAAGCAAGCAAACAAACAAACAAACAATACAAAATTCAAAACAACAAACAACAATCACAATAAGAACAATCAAGAGCGAGCGATACCGATCGAGTCTCATAGAGCCTGAACTTGTGCATACACGTCTCAAGAGGAGAGAGACTAGGGTGAAAAGGTTGAGGTTCCTCTTCTTGAGAACCCATTTTCCTGATTTTTCGCGCTCTCATGTAGATCCCCGAGCCTCTCAGACTTGCATTCAAATTCCTCACTTCAAATTAAAAAATTCACCATCACCCAATTCTTGAACCATTGGCTTAGATAAATTATTGAGAATAATGTCCTACAAAATCACCCAAAAATCCGATTAAATACCATGAATAAAATATTATCAGAAATTAACAAATCCCAAAAGGGTATCAATTAAACAATTCAATCAAGCAAAAATCAATAATTCCAATAGAAACAAAGAAACCAAATTCTGAAAAATTCAAAACTAGAACAGCCTAAATTCAACTCACAAATTAAACAAAACCCATCAAAGAAAACCCGAAAAATTAAAAGAACAATCACCTAAACAATCACATCAGCAAGAAAAATAAAAAAACAAAATTCCAACAAAATCAAAAAACCAAAACACCCCAAATTCACCACAAAATCAAAATTCAAACAAAACCAATTATATATCCAAAACAATAAATAAAAAAAACCCTCACTTTATACGATTTAGGGGAAAAACCACCCAATTAAGCATCACCAGAAGGCGAAACGGCCTCATCAACATCACCATTGTTGTCGCGATAGATAGAAGAAACCGAGGCGAAAACTTCAGGATCACGAGAGAGAAGTTTAAGAGCACAAATCAAAGTCTAAGATCATTTAATCTGTCGAATTGAAGGAACTCTAAACAACCAAATTCCGCCTACCACCACCATCTATGTACTCACACTATGTATTCAACAATTGACCTAAGAAACTGATTCAGTGAAGAACAAAAAGCTCATAAGCCGCTTCAATGGAGAATTCAGAGTATGACTTGGTCGGCTTCAACGGAGAGGAGAGGATTCAGAGGACGATTTCGATCGAGTGTAGCATGAAATTAGGGTTTCGTCCTACTTCAATGAAGTGCAAAACAAATTAGGGTTTCGTTCTTCTTTATTCTTGAGCAAAATGGAAAGAGTGGGCTGAATAAGTTCAGCGACAATGGAGGTGAGGGCTAACTGAAGTTCAGCAACCATGGAGGACGGCTGAGTGAATTGAAGTTCATTGACCATGGAGGACGGCTGAGTGGAGTTCAGTGGGGTTTTTGATTTTTAGATGTGAGAGAAGAGAGAGAAAGGGTTATGATGAGAAAGAAGGGTTAAGATGGGTTATGCCAGTGGGTCACAATTATACTTTATTTTATTGTTTTAGCAGCTGGCCTTTCAAGGTCAGTTACAAATAATATGGTCAAAATTTAGTTGACCTAGTATTTGTAGCGGACATATAAATGGCCAGTTGCGAATAAATAATATATTTTTAAAATAATTAATATTAGCAGCGGGCATTGCTATGTCAGTTGCAAATGTTATAGTATTCGCAACTGGCATCACATAGGCCAGTTGCTAATATAAATTTTTACTTTTACACTCTAAGTATTAGCAGCGGCGCTCATTACTATGTCAGTTGCTAATAACATAGTATTTGTAACTGACATTATTTTAGCCAGTTACAATTAGTGTTTTAGTAGCTAACATATATAACGCCAGTTGCTAATAGGGTGCTGCTAATAGCAATTTTTCCACTAGTGATAGCTCATATGGGGTAACATCCTTCCTTTTCATGGGAACACGATTTAACACGTAATAAGCCATTAAAACGGCTTCATCCCAAAATCCATCACTTAAACCCGAATATGACAACATAGAATTAACCATTTCTTCTAGTGTCCTATTCTTCCTTTTCGCTACACCATTTGATGTGTTGTAAATTCCGCGGTAGATTTATGTACTAAACCTATAAATTGGAAATAACTTGAATCATAGTATTCACCTCCTTTATCGGTTCTTAGCTTTTTAATAATTGTGTTTGTTTGCAACTCTACTTCACTTAGTAGATTTAAATTTGTCTAGGCTTCATCCTTAGAATACACTAAATAAACATAGCAACATCTTGAAAAACATCAAAGAAAGTTGCTAAACACTTCATATTGCCTAAGGAAAGTGTGCTATGAAAATCACATATGCACTTAAACAAGCAATGAATTATTATTTTCCACATTGGATTAAATGAGAGACTTAAAAACATAAAACAAACATCAATAATATGACAACACCAATGAATAAAATAAACAAATACGTCATAACTAAGTTGGCTTAAACGCAACATCACATGACATATTCAAACCAACAAAATAAATCAATATTTTGTCAAAACATCTATCCTTTCATCGTGATATTTTAAGAATTATATTATCCTCCAAATCATGGACATCACGAAAGATAAATTCATTAATTCATTCATCATAAAGCAAATCAGTTTCTTGTATAAGATTTAATACAACATATATACAAAATTTGACAAACTTCTTGTTGCCATCAAATTTGTTTCATATACATACACTTATACAACTGATTTTACATGAAATTATTACACAAGACAACACCATGAAATAAAATAAAATCATTGCCTTGTAAAACTAAACAATAATTTCAAAAGTTGAATAAATTAAATTATCAATAGTATATACCATACTATCCATTAAACCTGGGCATCGTGCCGGGCCGTGCCGCCGCGGGCCGTGCCTGGCGGGCCACGGGCTTCGGTCGTGCCGCCGTGCCGAAGACCCCGTGACGTGCCGTGCCGGCCATTCTCACAGCCGCCCACGGCCTGGCACGACCCTCGTGCCTGGCGGGCTCGTGCCGTGCCGGCCACATGCCAGCCTGCGTGCTGGCTGCGGGCTGGGCTGTTTCAAGATTTTTTTTTTTTTTTTTTTTATTATTATAATGTATACACTATAATACTATATAAATAAATATATATATAAATATATATATATTAATATATATATATATTTATTTATTTAGTGCGTGTCGGAGCGTGCTTGGGCGGGCTGGCACGGCGGGCCTAGGGGCGGGCTCGTGCCGTGCCGTGCCGAAAAGTCCACCTCTTGTCCGTGGCACGGCCCACGGCACGCCGGCGGTCCACCGTGCCGTGCCGGGCCACCACCCGGGCCGTGTCGTGCCTCGTCGAAGGGCGGGTCGTGCCGGGCGGCACGCGGGCCACCCCGGCCCGTGCCCAGCTCTACTATCCATACTAATTTGTTCATGGCCTATTGAAATGAGCATCACTTGAATTGAATCAAGACATTCGATTAACCTCCAATTTATTCTAATTATCGTGGCCATTAGTCATTACCGCATGACCCATTGAAAACTACAACGGACCTTTTACCATGCATAGACAAATATCATACTTTATTCAAACATAATTATTGCCACATTAGTCACCAACCGGTAATCATATATAATATCAATTTACATATTAAATAACAATTAACATAATGATATACATGTTAATACTTTCTATAAAAAGACATCATCAAAACAATTCATAATTGAAAAATCATCCATGCTAAATAACCATGAATTAAAATCAAACAATGAATCAACACATTCATCATTTCAAGCATGGAATAAAAGATGATAAAATAGAAATACTAACCAATTCGCCATGGATAAACACAATAATAAAATACCGCGAATTGCATCATTTCGATTGTACTGAACAAACCGTCTATCCACTTGTTCATCTTCCTCGTGGCCTCCAACGTCTCGTTTTCCTCCTCCATTAACTTCGGGGATGTGAGTATGAATGTCACTCCAAGAGATATCACCAAAAACGTAAAAACTTTTGTCATCTCCGTAAAATTCACTCCTCTAATTTGTCCAAATTTTGAACTTGCAAGACAATTCTTACACCGTTGCCATCTTTGTAAGAAATTATTACTTTGGATTGTTGGGGAAATTGGTTTACCAGGTCACAAAAATCGCAACGAACTTAGATAAATTAACACTTCGAGGCGTGAACAAAATCACTTTCCGAAAGTAATATTTCGACCTTATTATACACACCGGGTATCACGAAATTAGTAGAAGATACAACGAACACAATCACAACAGTGTCTTGTATGTTTGTGATCTAATGTAACCAAAACTTGGTAATTATGATGATGATAATTAAAAGAAACAAGCAAAACTAAGAAAATGGAAACAAGAAAGTGACGAAGAAATTGACTCCTTTTCTTATTATTCATCATATGTTAATTAACAAAGAAGAAACTGACACAACCGTCAAAATTCAACCCACACCAAACCCGCGCCCTACCAGGCCGCGGCCACCCAACCGGGCGGATCTGGGTGTCATAATCTGGAGCCTCTCGCGCCCGGTCGGGCGGTGGTGGCCTTGCTGGGCGGTAAAGTCCCAAATTGCAGAACTTCGTGATTTGGAGATCGTTCCCACGTCCAGTAGGTCGGCGGCTGCCCGACCGGGTGGCGGAGCAGCTTCACGATTCCACCCTCGCACCCGGTCGGGCAAGCATCACCCAGACCGGGCGGTAGACAAGGCAGTGGTGTGGATTCCTCTATACTGAGTTATCTCTTTACCGAGATATTTTCATCCTTTCCACCAAGGCTATTTGCTTCTAATTTCTTTGCTATCTTAATCAAATCACCTTCACCTATTTAACATTGATTAAGCAAAGCAAACATGAATAATTGTCTCATACTCTAAATTACTCAACATTCATACTTTAGAATATTCCGACCTTTGATAATTTATGTATAGAAATTACGATTATTTTATTGTCAGATGATCAGCTTAACCAAAAGTATGAATTTATGGTTGGAGCACCAAAATTGTAATTTTTTTTAATAATTATCAATGTATTTTTCATTAGTTAAAATAAATAATGTTAAAATAGTGCAAAAATCAATTAAAGTGACACTATAAAGTTAATAACGGACAAATTATACTCCGTGTATAGCTAAGCAAGAACTCCACAATCAATTTTTTTATTTTTTATTTTTTTTATAAAAAATAAGGGACTAAAGTATTGAGTTTATAATAACTTAACAATGAACATGCAATTAATTAACGAAGTAGAACTCTAATTAGGCCGCTAAACTTTATCTACTACTTTATCTAAAATAAACAAGTGCCCAATACAAGTTAAGTAACGAAGTTTTTCAATTCCATGGATTTTAATTTTATTCAACATGTAGAACTAATATTAAACCTAGCATAATTTGTATTAGAAAGGGTCAAAACTCTGGTGCACAACGTAGAAAAATACATGGAACCTTATTACTTTATACGCCATAATACTTAATTAGCTTATATCATATACTAATTCTATATGATTAGCTTAGCTTAATGCATATGCTTTAAAGATTCTAACGTGTACATATCACTACATTAGTACATAAATTATTATAGGGTTATTTAGTAATTTAAATAAAAAAGTTTAAAGTATACTTTGGGATTTGTTGGACGTTAAAATTTTAGAAGCAAGCATGATTATGTATTTATAAAATTCATTTCTACCATGCATTTACTTACAAATTAAAAACGTGCTTAAGAAAGTACAATATAATTAAATAGAGCGTAGCAAGCAACACCTATATATATATGTTTTCCAAGGCAAAGGTTTACTCATCAAATCTAAACCACAAAACTCTTTAAGTCTTAATTACATTCATCATCAATATTTTCAAAGTAATTTAAGATTAAAAATGTCATTGTACACAAAATCGAGTAAGGTAGTTCGTACAGAGAGTACGTTAGACGAACACTACATCTACTTCTCTCATGTATTGTCACCGATGAAGACGAAACAACAGCGAGGTGATAGTAGCAGTAGTCGAAGCGCAAAGACGATGCAGCCGCAGCAATATGGACATGGTTGTAGGAACAACAATGTTTATGAAGATGTTGATGCTAAAGCTGAGGACTTCATCAATAGAAGACGTCAGAAGTTTGAAGGGACGAGTCTTTGGAAATATTGAAGGATATATAATGTTCATGATTTGCTAATGTTTTCTTACGTATAATTATCCATACATGGATGTAAGTACATCGACCGTGATCTACTTGATCAATGCACTTGTCATTGTAGGTCTTTATTGGGAGTTCGATCACTTATATTCTTTGCACAGCTGTTTCAATTAATTTATAATTCAATTCTCCGTAATATATTGAAACTAATACTCTATTCTCTTCAACTTATTTTTGTTGAATGAAGTTCTTTTTATTGGAATAAATTATTTTTGATCATTCTCAATTTTCGGAGAATGCGGCGTTGTAAATTTAAATTACTTTTACTAAACTTTAATTATTTTTGTTGATTAAAGTCTATTTTAACTGGTTCTATGTATTAAATTTCATCTGATCTTTAAGGTTATTGATTAACTGAGTAAAA